ATATATACATTTATTTATATATAATATTCATCTTTTAAAATTACAAGAAATTACTATTTTTAAATATATACTAATAAATAAAAATGTTTTTTTCCAAAGTGGATAGTGTCAATATTGTTATCCTGAAAGCAATGAGATAACCATTGATTTTCCTGCTTCCTCAGATAAATTTACAAAGAAAAATGAGAGTTACTGGTGTAATTACCCAAGGAGCCAAGAGGATTGGAAGCCCAGAATATATAAAATCCTACAAAATTGCCTATAGTAATGATGGAAAGACTTGGACAATGTACAAAGTGAAAGGCACCAATGAAGATGTGGTAAGAATGACTTAACATAGTTAATTTAAAAGTCAAATTTCATTAATAATCATTGCTTACCAAATGAATAATGGGTCTTCATCAGAAGCTTTATGTTGTTGCAAATAAATTTATGGTATTTTAATAAATATTAGACTAGTGGGGTGAAAGGGATAAGGAGTTTTTCCAAGTTATAAATGTACACTGACTACCACTTAAGACTTTCTCTGATTTTAGTTGTTGGTCTTATGATCACTTTATCAGAAGGTTAATAATATTGGCATGACAATTGTTTCATTTTAATAATAGTTTGTTTTAAATTTCACTGTATTGCTTTGACTAATATATTAGCACTCTCCATAATCAAATAACTATAGATCAAAATAGTTATCTGTAAAGAAAAATATTATTTGAAAAATAAAGCATGAATATAGAAAAGATGTATATATTTATATATTTCATATTGGGAGAAAAATTTTTATTTAGCAGAACAAAATATTTTAGTAATGTATTTTTATTTATTGAGAGAAAGGAAGAGAGAGAGAAAAAGGAGAAACATCAATTTGTTGTTCCGCTTATTTATGCATTCATTGGTTGATTCTTGTATGCACCCTGGCCGGATATTGAACCCACAGCCTTGGCATAACGGGATAACACTCTAGCCAATTTAGCTACCCAGCCAGGGCTAGAGAATAAAACATTTTAGAGAAAATACATATTCAATGTCTCCTTTGCCTTTCTTATGATATTCCCAATTTTAATGAACTTTTATTAATTTTTTAAATTTCACTGAAGCTCATTCCATTTAAAGACAAGTCATTAGACTAGACTTAAGAAATTATAAAATAATTTTTAAATTACCTTCTCAAATAAATTTAAATAAATTTATCTGTTTACCAGGTCATGTAAAATAACAATAAGATTAAAATAATTTTAAAATAACATTTTTAATCCTTAATTTTTGAAGGAAATGTAGTTTTTCCATATATATATATGAATTATGAGTTTCTTATCCAATGATCTGGGACTGACCAATAAGATGTAATCTTAGGAATCAGACCCTAAAGGATCATAAGTCTGATCATACTGATCATAGCATTAGAGAGACTGAGTGAACAAGAAGCACAGGAAAGACTAGTTCATAAACAACAACAAAATATCATTACTAAGTAGTAAAATGAACAGACTAGATTAAGTTGAAAGGCTTAAAGTGCCCATTTTTCAAAAAAAGAAAGAAGCATTCCCCTGGCTTTGAAGGACTGACCTTAAAATTGACAATACCCTCATAATAGAGTATAGATTATACCGTAGGCTACATTGGTTCGTAACATTAATTAGTATTTTAGTTCTAGGTTTTATATATTCAGCCAATGGAAAGGTGCTTCCTAAATGCTTCAAACCCCAAAATTATTTAATCTAATTTTGGAAAGATTATGTTGGGTAGGATATAAGATCAATACATAAAAACAGGTAAAGGAGCTGTTACAATTAATAATTACAACTCTATGTCATCTCTTTACACAGGTGTTTCGTGGAAATGTTGATAACAACACACCCTATGCTAACTCTTTCACACCCCCCATAAAAGCTCAGTATGTAAGACTTTATCCCCAAGTTTGTCGAAGACACTGTACTTTGAGAATGGAACTTCTTGGATGTGAACTATCAGGTGAGTCCCATATTATTTATTTTAGTATTTTCTTTAAAGAAAAAAAAATTGGTGTGTAGTCTACTACTAACCTGTAATTTTTCAACACCCATAGATATTCGTTCTGCTATAACCTGTCTAGGGCATGGTTCAGTGATAAACTCGTGTGTGTGTGTGTGTGTGTGTGTGTGTGTGTGTGTATGTGTGTGTGTGATAAACAATCTAAAACATGCTACAGAAGACAACTAATGTAGAAGGAGCACTGTATTTCTTTGAGTAGTCAATGAAAATACAACAAATTCTCACTGGAAACTTTTGTTTCTTTGGATGTCTTACTGTTTTAGTATTAACTATGATTTATGTTTTGTGACAAATGTTCAGTAAAAACTGAAATCTGCCTGACTTTGTCAATGGCAGTTATATTTAGGCTATATGGAATAGAAAAGTAAGCTTTATCTCTGTCCATCTACTGTAAGAACTTGGCTTTTGGGATTTTTTTAATGAAACGTGTACATTTTATCATTTATCCCAAGGAGACAATACTTCAATACCAAGATTGCTACTATAAATTCACTCTTGGAGCATTCTTATCTACCACCCTGCCTATTGTATAAACAATGGTTATCCAACTCAAAGATAATCCATCAAAGGACTCAGGTTCAATAATCCTTATCTTCCAGGGGCATCAGTATTAAATATAAAGATGAAGTCTTGATATGTAGCTCTCTCAGTGATCCCATATCAATATAGCTAGATTCTGAACTAAACAGACAATTTTGTCTAGGCATTTCACTGTGTTTCTTTTTGGTGGTTGTTCTTATTCTAGCATCAACATTTACATGAAATGTAATTGTTTTTTCAAACAACTGTGTTTTGAAAAATAAAAAATTAATGTGTGCCTCACTTTTTAGAATAACCTTCAAAGAAGAAAGACTTTTATCAAATGTACAATGATACTATTTGGTTAAAAATGGGAGGACACATGCCCTGGCCAGGTGGCTCATGTGGCTGAAGCATCGTCCTGTACACCAAAGCTTGCAGGTTCAATTCCTAGTCAGGGCACTTACCGAGGTTGCAGTCAACTGATCTATGTTTCTCTCCCACATTGATGTTTCTATCGTTCTCTCTCTCTCTCTCTCTCTCTCTCTCTCTCTCTCTCTCTCCCTCTCTCATTTTCTCCCCCCTTCCTCTTCTCTCTAAAATCAATAAATATATCCTTGGGCGAAAGTTAAAAAAAATAGGAGGACACATCCGTAGAACAGAATAACTGGGAACTATTTATGCATTTCAAGAGGTTGTGTATTGGTTATAATATATACTTTATATTTATTTCCATTCTTAGGTATATTTGTAATGTTGAGAAAAGGAATGATTTTTAAGCAAACTAAAGTTACTATTAAAAAACAACCAAACTTTTATCCCACCAGTATGTCTCAGTGGTTGAGCATTGACCCATGAATCAGGAGGTCACTGGTTCAATTCCTGGTCAGGACACCTGTCTGGGTTGTGGACCCAGTAGGAGGAATGCAAGAGGCATCCAATAGATAGATATTCCTCTCTCGTCTATGTTTCTATCTCCATTCCTCTCACTTCCTCTCTCTCTAAAATAAATAAAAACATATTTTAAAAACAACAGCATACTTTAAATGAACCCATTATATTTAAAGGAATCAGAGACATTTAGCTAGATGACTGAATTTGTTTTAAGAATCATATTTCATATTATATATGGGTGTCTTTTATGAAGCAGCCAACATATGGTTTTAGTACTATTAATTACCCTAACAGGGATGTTTTCCTTATTTTCTTAATTCAAACCAGCTTACTGACTACCAGTAAATCTGAGCAGAATTGTTGTACAGTGTTTTTATTGCATGTCACTATATCACCACAGGCCGGTGTCAACCCTATCTCATCCATCATAAAGCAATCAAGAAGAAGCCACAGATGATGAGGTTTGTTACAAGCCTCCATGGTTTTTCGTTGCTTTACATCACCTTCCCAGACTTTTCAGCCATTTGATTTGTGAGGGTCAGTCTCTCATACATGGCACAGTTATACCCCTAAGGGGTAAATATATTTTACTTTCAAGTTTGACTTGAGGTTACACCTGACACTTTACAGATTTTTATGTTCTCAGAAAGAAGCCATACCCATCTCCCACACCCACACATTGATTTTGAACTTGCATGCAGAAAATAATATCACTTGATGGATACTTTTAAAAGCTGTAAAATAATCAATTTCATTGTTAATATTTCATTTTGTACAGGTGCTTTCCATGATGGTAAAAGAGTTAATTTATACTTATCAAATCATATGGATGAGAAGGAAAATTTGTGAGGCAAATTGGAAGAGGTTAGCTGTTACATTTGGAAATCAACAGTAATATAATGTATGGAATGATTTCCCACAATCCAGTGCAACACTATAAAGCCCAAGGCTGCCTTCTTGTATTCAATAAACTGTTATAAGATCTCTCAGCCTTCCTAGAAGATCAGCAGCTAATCTTTTACCAGATACTTAAAAAGAAAACCCCTAAATTCTCTGAGAGAGATATGATTTAAGATGTTTAGATTGAAATGGATCATGACCGTAATTAGAGGAGGAATAGTCATTCATTCATTCTTTGAACAAATTATTCAGATCTTCCTCTGGGCTAAGTACTAGACAGTGGAATGGGCATGAAATGAATTCAATGACAGAGCAGAAATGGTGAAAGTAAAGGTATCCCTTTTCTAGGCAATATTTGAAATACTGTGTTATGTCACAAAAGGAAGAAACCAACAACCTTTCCTTTTTCCCTTGTATCTCTTCTGCAAGTCCATCGGTTTTACAAAAGCTCCAGTAGCAGTGCAGGGTGCGGGGTGAGGACTTGATGAGAACAAAAGAAGAACAAGTCAGAAAACTGTAATTTAGATAAAGCATGTTACCATAGAACTGCCTGAAGATAAATGGCATGTCATTAAGACTTTAGAACTTTCTACAATCCTTGAGATTTGGTCATAAAGCTTTTCTCCTCCAGAATTTATATTTAGAAGTTCTAGTTATTTTTATCATGGGACTTAAGAGTATATGTCTCCGATCCCTAAAACCCAACAAAACTTGTACTAAGACATAATTGGCTAACCCTCCATCACCGTTTTGGCAATGTTTGCAGAGGATAGGCATTTCCTAGAAGGTGGCGTGGAAGGAAGACATGGAGGAGCCCCAAGAAGGAAGAAGTATCTACATGGACTAAGACAGAAAGCAATTCATTGTAGTTAAGAACTATTTATCATTGAAGAGTTCTAAGCCACTTCTCTTAGAGCCTTGACTTCAAATGGCTTAGTTTTAGAAACTACAGCCAGTCATAAGCTATTTAGTACCCCCTGATATGCTGATTTGAGGTCTTAACATTGTTATCTGTTGAAATGAGCTTTATGGAAATAATAAAAAGAGCTAACATTTACTTAATGTTAGCTATATGCTGGCACTGTTCCTAAATACTTTAAATTTATTAGCTAATTTCTTAAAACACTTTTTTAAGGTAGTTTCTTATTATCATTATCTTAGAGATGAGAAAACTGAGGCACAATGTGGTTAAAAAATGGGTATAAGTACACAGATTGTGAGGGACCAATAGAGTATGAGGAAATGGCATTGATTGGAGGAGTCTCCTTTTATCTTGGATTTCTTTTAACAGCTTTATAGATCTAGGTCATATAGATAGATATAGATACAGACACAGATAGAGATAGAGATAGAGATATATAGATATATCAGAGAAGAAGGAAGACGGAGAAATAGATACATCAATGATGAGAGAGACTCATTAATTGGAAGCCTCCTGCACATGCCCCTCTGAAAATCAAACCCTAAACCCTGCCATGTGCCCCAACCTGAAATCGAACCGTGACCTCCTGGTTCATAGGTTAACACTCAACCATTGAGCAACACAGGCCAGGCTTATTTTGGATTTCTTGATAATAAAACTTACTTTGTGGAAGCCTCAACAACTGCATAATGTGGTAACAGAATCATGCTTCCTATGGATGGCTTTATGGATGGAATTTTGTCACAATTGTAATTCGAGATTGGAAGTTCATGTGCATACACACACACATATGCATATACACACACACATATTTCAAGGACAGACAAACCCACAATTTGCACCATGTCAAACCTGAAACCATGTGTGGCAAATTTGAGAATCTTCCAAATTTACCCAATACCAGAAGCTATTGAGTATGATCAAAATATAAGAATGTATAAAAGACTCATCCCATAATGGCTTTTGCTAGAATTACTTTCTTCTGTTATGTATTTGTTTAAATCCTATACTTATACAATGCCTGGCACATGGTGTACTTTGAAAAAATATTAGCTTCTCACCTTCCAGAAGAAGCCATGTTGGTGCTATAAGAATACATGATAAAGATTAGCAAACATTTCTTGGAAAAGAAAATGCTGTCCAGTTCAAAATATACCATTGGAGCAGTTTGTGAAAATGACTTCGTACTGAGGGAATTTTCATTTGCAGTATTATGGAAGCAAATAAAAGAAAACCAAATATACTTTGTGAGAAAATGTTCCATTTTTAAAGGCGCAATGAAACTGTTGAAAGCTCGGGAACAGTCATGAGGCTATCATTAATGAGACAGGGGAGCATTGTTTTCATTTTGCAGAATCATCTATCGCAGAAAAGTAATTTGAATTCTGTCTTGTTTTCAATTTTTCCAAAATATATTCAGACAAAATAACCTGAATTGGCTATTTTGTTTTTCGATTTTGTTCCAGATTTACTTCTGATTATAACCTTTTTTGAATTTAGATGCTCTCTCTTTGGGGGAATGAATAGCATTAGGCTTAATCTGCTCTTGCCTCTCTAAAATGAAGACATAAAACTTGCAGGGTGATAAATTCTTTTTCTCACGGAGCCCTTCCCATCTCTTTCAGGCTGTTCTGAGCCTCTGGGGATGAAATCGGGGCATATACAGGACTATCAGATCACTGCCTCCAGCATCTTCAGAACTCTCAATATGGACATGTTCACTTGGGAGCCAAGGAAAGCTCGGCTGGACAAGCAGGGCAAAGTGAATGCCTGGACCTCCGGCCACAATGACCAGTCACAGTGGTTACAGGTAACAGTTTTCAAAAACTTTTGCCACCCACTGCACCTCTTCTTTTAAAAGATTTCCTGTTGGTTAGATGATTGTTGGAGTGATTACCTTCATACTAATTTAAATGTGCCTCTCTCTTTGGCTTAACTATATTGGTAAAAAAAAAAATCCTATGAAGCTATGTCTGTGTGCTATTTTTCTTCCAATGTTGATGTACAGATGCTACTGTCAGATGGATGCAGCAGGCTGTACCAGATCACACGATTATAGATCAATTGGATTGATTACGAGAGCATTTGCATTTTAACTCATCTATCCTCACGCTAGGAGTCAATATTGGTTTGAAAGTGTCACAGCAGGTATCTAAACCACCTTGACATCAAGCCACTGACCCGTAGATTGTTCCCATAGCATCATGAATCATGACTTATTAGCTCTATCCCTGTGGTTGCTAAGCAATGGAGCAATTTGATTACATCTCATGATGAGAGCTAGGTTATAGAAGGAAAGCAGAGACGGTCTTTTCTTCACTTGGCCTTGCTTTCCCTTATTCTCACAGTTAGAAACATGCCCTTTTCTCTTTCAGGTTCTCCAACCCCACACACTCACATTAACAAGTTAATAAGTATTGGTTATTTCAACTACTCTCAAATTACTCCACTTCTCACCATCCCACTGCCACTCTCGTACTCTAGGCAACCACCCTCTTGCACCCTGGGTTTTTGCAGCTTTCCAATTTCTGCTCCTACTCTTTAAAAAGCTGTTTCCCAAATTATAATAAGTATGATTTTTCCCAAAATACAAAGGTGATTTTCTTACTCTCTTTTGAAAACTTTTTAATTTCTTTCTATTACCTCAGGATAAAGTCGGGTTCTTTAATATAACCTAAAAGTACATGATTTGGCCCTATTCCCTATTACCTTTTTAGTTTTTCTAAATTTGCTTCAGTTTTTCAAACCAAACACTATCACTGTCTGTCCATTCCTTTATAAATGTCCTCTTCCTAGAGGAAAAGAATGGGGAAAGAACACCTCTGCCCAGAGAACCCCCAGCCTTTTATTGGTATAATCCTTCAGCTACCATGTGGGTATACATTCCTCTGGTGCATCCAAAGCAAGCCAACTCCATCCCACACCAGATTTGGCGTAAGTTCTCTCCTGTACCCTACTGGGTCATCTATAATCATCTCAGAGCATTATCACACTCTTACTGAAATTGTGTTTTCATGCTTCATTGTTGGCTCTAGGAAGGATGGGACCACATCTGTCTTTTTCACTTTATCAACTTGTTGTTCAGTCTCTAACTAAATACCTGTCACAATGCCTGACACATGGTAGGCATTCAATAAATATTTGTTGAATGTATGAATGGATAAATGAATAGTTCAAAATACAATTGAATTTATTGATTTGGGCATATACATCATAGAATTGTGATCCACAATTTAAGAGGCCAACTGCTAATATCCTCAAATTTCAAAAATAATATTTAAAAAGAAACTAAAAGCTCATATGAAAGATCTGACCTTTATAATACAGGAACTAAATGATTATAGTACATAGCCTTTATGAATTCTTAAGTTCTTAATTGGAGGAATCCATGGAAACATTTTTTCACTGATTTGTTAGAATTGAATGGTAAAGTTAAACTTGCTCTTTGTTGCTATATAATATTTTTTAAAATGGAAATATTCAGGTCATGCCTCAGTTTATTTTTTTTATATTTTATTGATTTTTTACAGAGAGGAGGGGAGAGAGATAGAGAGTTAGAAACATCGATGAGAGAGAAACATCAATCAGCTGCCTCCTGCACATCTCCTACTGGGGATGTGCCCGCAACCCAGGTACATGCCCTTGACCGGAATCGAACCTGGGTCCTTTCAGTCCACAGGCCGACGCTCTCCACTGAGCCAAACTGGTTTCGGCTCAGTTTAAATATCATTTTTGAGTCATAATGCCATGTGGAATATTCCAAAATATTTTACACTATAACTAACTTAGGCTGGTAGGCTCTAGAAATATCCATATGAAGGAGTTGTCAATGGCACATTTCTTTAGAAAGATAAAACTAAACAAATATTTTTACATGAATCAGGGTGTACTCTTCAATGCAAACCTCCATCCGTCACATTTTTTTAGGATGGCTTTTCAACTGTCTTCTTAAAGTCACTTGCATGCTGACATTGATTTATTCTGTTGGTGACAAATTTTTCTGTCAACTCAAGGCCCAGTTCTTGCAGCACATGTCCATTTTTTGCTGTGTCAAAACATATTCAGAATCTTGAAGGCAGGGTAAATTGACATCTTTACTTATACTTATTTTTTTTTCCTTTTTTCACATCAAGATAATGCTCAAGAATTGTTACTATTTTTAGTATTTTCTCATCAGAAGAATAGAATCTGTTCAACTATATATTGCCATGGCTGTTAGTGTCTTTGTTGAAAATAAGATTAACATTTTTATAGATATTGGACAGGATGAGTTTGTTTTTAAATTATTTATATAGACTCAATTTTTTATCCTTATTTGAGGCTTCTGAATTTATGAAGTCTAGTTCTGTTTTTAACCTAAGCTGCATCAATTCTGGGTAATAGCTCTTCTGAAGAGAAACCATGTCTCTCATTTAAATTTCCCTCCTTCACTATCAATCTTCTGCTTATTGATTGTTTAAGAACTTTCCTTTATATACTAACTACATATAACCCTCTAATGATGAGTTTTATTTCAGTTTATAGGTGTTCCTAAAATTTATTCAATAGATAATGTCTGGAAATTGTTCTAAAGAAAACCCCAAAATATTTTAAGGAATTCTTATGTATTCAAATATCACTTTAACATCTTATTCTTCTTATTTCTCTGTTGTTGTTTCCAGTGCTTCTAAAAGGGCAAACTATCAGATGCTTCTTAAGCAAGTGTTCTTGTATTACTTTTCATAAGTGATCTTACCTAACTGATTAGTAGCTTCCATGAGCTATTGTTTATCATGAAATCATTATGCTATTTCTTTATAAACATGGCAAAAATGTGTTAAGTCCACAGGCAACAGTAAATAAGAGGCATTTTTTTCACACCTCTGAAAAACTGTTTCATCGCTTTGATGTGTTTGCTGTTCTCCAATATTTTGAGCAAGGAGCCCTACTAATGTGTTTTTCAAAAACACAGAGGTTTTTAGTATGTGTGTGTGATTTTTGTTTGTTTTTTTGTTAAATTACAGTTTCAGCCTTAAAAAACAACAACAACTTACAGCTAAGTTGAAAGATCATAAGCCAATTATTCCTGACTCATAGCTGAACATTTCTAACATATGGCTGGACTAAATTTTAATCCCTGTTATAAAATAAAGTAACATTAAAGTAACAAAAAACAGACATTTTGTTGGATTTTAGGTTTAATTAAATAAGACAAATGAAGAAGCACATAGAAGGTACCCAGCAACAGGTAGCTCCCGCCTTTCTCTTTCCTATGGCTTGTGAAACCTTAGGAGAACATGACCTGACACCACCAATTTTAATCAAGAATGAAGATCTGCATACATATTCTTTGCTTCTTTCAAAAGGGAATTTTTAATAAAACTATGAAAGATAAAGTAATACATTGGTAGATCAGTCGCAGACTGTGAGAAGTATTGATAAATTATATAAATTTGCACTGGCAAACAAAAATTTTCAATTTTTTATATAGGTGACATTATATTTTTCAAATTCTTTACCTGGGAATAGTAGTAATATTATTAATAACTTAAAATGAGCTTTATATGTTACTTGGTAATGTTCTCTACTGAAACAATATTCTTATTAGAAAGTTTATGTGTTTTATGTCCATGTTCAGTTGCTTTCAATACACTGAGTAAATTCCCTTAGTATTTACACTCATATTATACAAACTGATTAAAACACAGCATAAAATTGTGGTGTTTAACAACATTATATCAGGGGTAGTATACTGATGATAATCTTACTAATTGTGAAGAAATATTTTGGTATAGTAGATGCAAGTAAACAATGAACAATCTCCAAGAATTAACTTGGATTGACTAACCAACTTTAAAAAAAAATCTTATGATTAAAGACTGTAAATTATCTTACATTGAATATGCTCTGTGTGTATTCATTGCATTATAGTGGTAATTCATCCTCTGTAATTGAATCTATTGAAAGTTTTTTTCAGATTTCACAAAAGGGAAGCACAATACAAATGAAAATGTCACAATGTCACCTAGTAAATGACCTTTTGGTCTATTTCATGAAACAATTGCTAATTTAAGTTAGTCTGTATAGTATTTCATCCAAATTAGTCAAATTAATTGAGTTGTTAAAGTGCACGTTTTAGTGTTGACCTTTTTCAGAATTGCAGCTAACCCTTCACAACTTCATTTCAATACTAATTTTGTGGAAATGTGCAAAAAGCAATTGAATTTGAGTTTTCTAATTAAATAAGCCGTATTTAGTTCATTTTAGATTTTTAACAGGGCATATTTTAGCCATAAAATTCATAACTTCTTTAAAAACATTAACTTATATTGTCTTCTGCACAATTTATTAACATTAGAATTAAAGGAAAAAAAATTTCAAGGATCAAGGGTCCCTCAATATGAAGGAATAGTCTGATTTCCAGGTCACTCTTCCAAAATTTCAAATATAGTAAACAGCAAGCCTACATGAAGGGTTCAGTTATAAAGCTGATCTGAAAGAGATAAGTAGTGTCTTTATTTTGTCTGATTATGAAACAGTTTCCATCCTTCATAATGTTAATATATGTTGAAGTATATGAAGTGAATCAAAGGATGTCCATACCTTGCTTATATTGTAAATCATCTTTAAGTTTTTATAATTTTACAGAATCAAAGGGAATCTCCACTATCCAAATACAAAAAAACTAATGAGCAAAGCAAAATTGAATAGGATATTTATACAGAGAGTACTTGGCGAGCAAACCATCAGTATACTCTGCAGCCAGGATCAATGTACTATGCTGAGTGCAGGACAAAGCCCAACAATCTGGTTTTGAGGGCTGACGACTTA